CAGGGGAGTGGAAGCATTGCAAGAGCAGATCACTGAGTGGATCGCCCAGGGACTGGATCACAGAGAGCAGAGTGCCCAGGGACTGGATTCACCAAGCGTGTGGAACGTTGGGGACCAGGTTACCTGATGAGTAGATCACCCAAGTGGGCAGGTTACCCAGGAATATGAAGGGCTGAAAGTTGATTACCAAGAGAGTAAATTGCCTGGGAGAGTAGATCAACTGAGGACCAGAACATAAGGAGAGTGGATGACCCGAGCACAGCATCACCCAGTGGATCACATGGGCAGTGGAATGCCCAGAGACTGGATCACCAGGAGAGTGGGTGAATTGTCACCCTATCACCTAGGTTCTGAAACCAGCAGAGTGCGGGTCATTGAGAGTGGATCACACTTTGATTGAAAACTATATTACATGTACTTGAATTACATAATAGAACAGAGACAGATGATCATACAGAATGGTCACATAGAGACAGGTTCAAAGAATAATGGGAACAAAGATATTGGTCCAGAAATTGCAATCAACTTCCTCTGCAAACTACCTGCAACTTCCCCTCCAAACCAGTGACCACATTGACTTGGAAATATATCGCCGATCCTTCAGATCAAAATTCTATGACACCCTCCCTAAGGGCATTGTGGGTCTACCTACAGCATGTGGACTGCAGCAGTTCAAGACGGCACCTCACCCCCTCCTTCTCAAGGACCAAGTACAAGTGGGCAATAGATGCTGGTCCAGCCAGCAGTGCTCAATCCCATGAATGAATTAAAAAATTCAGAATCCCTATTATTGACCTTGATCAGATTTTAAAGAAAAGATACAATTTAGATTCTAGTCTGCAAATTCCCATACAGGACACTTCGGTTTCAAAACAATGGAGGTCTGACCGTGAATGCTTGCAGCTAGCAGAGAGGATCGTTATCAAAACCACGCTCCGTTTTCCAATATTCAGTATTCTGTGATTTAAACATTCAGCAGCATAGCCAATGCTGTGAATGAGTGAGCACGTAAGCTAAAGGTGGAGAAAGAGAACAGGTACATGGGTCAGGGTTGGGGAGAGGGGAAGAGGAGTAGAGGAGTTTGGTAAGGTACGGGGTTGGTGGGGGGGTGGTAAGGATGGGTAGGATTCCAGTTAGGTGGATGAGTGTTTCGGGTGAGTGGAAGGTTTGGGTGAATGGGTCTTGTAGGGAGTGGGACGGAGTTGGACTGAGGGGGATTGTCAGGCAGGGCTAGCAGTCAGGCCTGATTTATTTCTGGAGATGAATGGCATCAAGAGATCAGGGAAAGTGGGACTGAGGTAGATTATCAACCATGATTTAACTGAATTATGTAGCAAGCTGAATGGCCTATTGCCATTTGTGATCATATGGAGTAGATCACACAGATTGGATCATAAGAGACAAGATATCAGACAGAATCGCAAGGATCATAAACTGGATCATGCTAGATCACAGACACTGGGCCATGTGTGATCATATGGACTGGATCAGAGACTGAATCACAGTAAATCACAAAATTAATTGTAAAGGATCACAGACTTGATTTATTAGAGTGGAAGACATAGATCATATAAAGTGGGTCACACAAACAGCACAGCACAGCCACAGAAATTGAAACATCAAATCACAGGCTTGCTATTGCAACTTCTCTCTGTCTGCTTAGCAGTTCTCAGTTGCAGGCATTGAACAGAGATATGCTGCATTAACAATGAATTGCACTTGCCCTGATGCATGAGCAAATACCTACACAATTAAGTAGCAAGTGATTGCAATTTGAATAAAAAGTCTTGACTTGATACAATACCTTTCTTGACCACAAGACCTTCCTAAAAGCTTTACAGCGAACAAAGTACTTTAGAAGGTACTTTTGAAGTGTAGTCACTGTTGCAGGAAACATGGTAGCTAATTTGCACAAAGGAAGCTCACACAAATAATATGATGATGAGCAGATCATGTATTTTGACAAAAATAATTGAGTACTTAGGAGTTCTTTTTAGTTTAACACAAATTTCTAAATCTGCAGATGACACCAAATGTTAGGGAGGAGAGAAATGTTGGATAGTCAGTTTGAGGGGCACTGTAACAAATTACAGAAACTTGCAGAATAGATATAACTGGAAAATTGGAATTTCAATGTGGATAAATTGAAAATATTAGATTTTGGCAAGAAAAGTAAGCAGACTGGTTATTGCCTAGAGAACAAGAATCTGAATGGGGTTGATGAGCACAGGGATTTGGAAGTACAAGTACACAAATGACTATAACTGGTAACATGGGATAACAAAGTCATAGGGAAAAAACAAACCAAGCACCAGGATTTACATATTGAGGAAAGCAAAGCACCACAGATGCTGGAGATTTGAGGCACAATATAAATGCTGGAGAAACTGAGCAGGAAGCATCTGTGTAGAAAGAAAGAAAGAGTTAAAAGGAGCAAGACCAATTATTCCTCTTTGGAACTCTGGAGTAGTGTCCAATTCTGGGCTTTCTATATAAAGATATAGAAACAGTGGAGAGGGACAAACCTGAGGGTGAGGAGTGGATGAACAGGCTGGCTAACATTTCTCTTGAGAGAAGCTAAAGCGTGACTCCATGGAGGTCTTTAGATTATGAGAAGCATTCATAAATCAGCTGTGAAGAGCCTGTTTCTTCTTGAGGGGAACTGAAAACCTGGAGGTCAATACATGAAATTAAAAAGGGAATCTAGAAGCAAAATTTTTACTCACAGATGTGAGAAGGTGAAACTAACTTCCACAGGGAGTAGCTAAAGTGAATAGTATAGAATTAGATAAGCATGAAGGAGAAGGGAATGGAGGATGAACGTTTATGGAATTTGGTGAAGACAGACAAGAGGAAGCTCAAATGGAACCAACCAACCAACATGGACTAGTTGGGCAGAAGGACCTGTCTTTGTGTTGTCCTCTTAACAGTGACCATTTTGGGGGTGGCAATGGCCTACTGGTATTATCGTTGGACTGTTAATCCAGAGGTCCAGGTGATGTCCTGGGTTCAAATCCTATCATGGCAGATGGTGGAATTTGAATTCAATAAGATCTGGAATTAAGAGTCGAATGATGACCATGAAACAACGGTCAGGAAAAAAGGAAAAACCCATCTAGTTCATTAATGTGCTTTAAGGAAGGAAACTGCCATCCTTACCTGATCTGGCCTACATGTGACTGCAGACCTACAGCAACGTGGTTGACTCTTAACTGCCCTGTGGGCAATAAATGCTGGCCTAGCCAGTGACACCCTCATCCCATGAATGAAAATAAATTTTAAAGTATTAACTTTTCACTTTTGCTTGTTCCTTTTTCTTCCTTGTTTGTGCAGCTCAGATCAATGGTTTTCCAAATGTAAAGTGAAACATTGGGGAAAAGTTACCAAATAGATTCCTGCTGAACTCCTGAACCTGTGACTCTGAGTCCCATTACTTTTCTGCTAAAAGTTAGATAATCATTGATTCTAAGTCACCAGATGGGTAATTCATATCTGTACATGTGGCTCAAGAATCTACACTATAGGAAAGAACATTCCACTGTGTTTTAGTGGGTTCTGGCTTCCCACACAAGAGTTCTATGGGTAGTTGGGGTTTCATTGCACATTTACCAAATCCTGCACAGCCAAATCAATGTGAACAGCTTGTCACATCCAGAGCTTGATATGAACCTGGCTCATAGGACCAACCCTTATTTACAACAATATTAATATCAAGAGTGCACAGAGGGAGATAATAGAATGTTATGAAGAATGCAGCAGATAATCAGGAGGGCTAATCGAATTTTTACCCTTATTTCAATGGAGTGGGAAATAAGATTTACAAAATCTACTGCAATTGTACAAGGTGGTCATGAGACCACATTTGGAGTACTGTGAGCAGTTTTGGTCCCTTTATTTAAGGAAAGATATCATTTCATTGGAGGCAGTTCTGAGAAGTTTTATACGTGGAGGGATCTTATGAGCAAAGACTAAATAGGTTTGGAATTCAACTCACCAGGGGATCTCATTGAAACATACAAGATTCTTAATGGGTGTGACAGAGTAAATGCAGAGAAGATGTTTCCCCACATTGGAGAGTCTAGGACCAGAGGGCATTGTCTCCAAACAAAGGGGCACCAACCCACAGATGAACAGGAATTTCTTCTCTAGACGGTTGGGACTCTTTGGAACTCCTTACTGTAGACAGATGTGGGGACAGAGTTATTGCGGATATTTAAGGTTGAGATAGGTTCTTGATCAGAGGAATCAAGGGTTATGGGGAAAATGTAGGAACGTTTATGTGAGGAATATTGGATCAGCCATGATCCTATTGAATAGCAGAGCAGGCTGGAGGGGACCAAATGGCCTACTTATAGTCATGTTAGCTACACAATGAAGAGAAATGGAAGAATATTAGAAGTGGGAGTGAGAAATGACGAATTGGACTGAAGCCTGGGTGAAAAATGATTGTGGAGAAACACATGTTACACTTAACACATTTTCTTTCCACCCAAGTTTCAGCAAATCATATTTGGTCTATTCTTTCTTGGACAACAACTAATTGTTACCTTTTGAGCTGTACAAAAATGGTAAAGTATGTTTGTTTTCTGAATAAGCTCATGGGAGATAATGCTGTATACATTCACTTATCACTGCAATTCTTTTTGCTATTGCTGTAACTTAAAACAAGTATCACAAAATTGGTCAAGTACAGCATTTTGAAATTCTTCGTAATGAGCCCTGCTTTTCACACTTTAAGAACTTCAGAATCATCTATTTTCAATGCTGTCTCTGCTCTTCTGCATTCAGACTCTTCCTTGGCCAATGCACAAGGCTGAGTATAGTAGCATTTGCAGAAGCTCCTTTGGTGTAATTTCCATTAATTCCCTTGGGTGACGTAACAGCCACTAGAAAACAACCTATGCAGCCTGAAAGCCACTTCTAACCTTGATCACTCCAGTCTAATATATTGGAGAAAGCCCATTTCACTTTAGGAACAATACATAAAGCAAACCACAATCTGAACAGCCACAACAAATATTTATTTCAATTCTTGAAACAGACTTTGACATTCAGTTATTTTGCAGATTAAAACTGCTTGCATTTATCTGACGTTAATATAGTAAATAAAGTGCCTAATTATCATTGTATTTTGTAGACAAACGACTTAATCTTAGCATGAATCCAGCTTAATACAATTGAATTAGCCAAAAGATTAGCTTTACTAAAATAATCTCTGCAAATAAAAAAAATCCTGACATGACATTAATTACAATCTTTAAAAAAAGCATTGACTCAATACAATTGCCAAATGTAACATTCAGAAACTTATTTTGTGGTTTTTTTCCCCCCATTCAATATACTACCTCAGCTACTTCGCTTTTGTTTTAACCTCCCACCTAATATCTCTGAAAATTATTTTTGACTAATGCTCCTAAACTCTGAAAATAGGAAAAAAAACTCTGAAGCCCAGGATTAGTCACAAAATGATTTCTGCTCCTGCGTTAAATTCCTCTTCCTCTGGACCTTCCTGTAGCTCTACTCAGTGAGGTGGTCAAAAAAGAGAGCTGGATAACAAGTGCCTAAATTAATTTTCTCTTGGGATAAGTCAGCAGGTATCCCGGAGAGGAATTTTTTTTTCTTCATAAGACCTATGCCCAGAAATACTGATCAATTGTAAGCAGTACAATTGTTTTATTCTTGATAAATAAATTCTTCAAGTGGAGCTTAACTAGAATATTTAGCCTTTATCTTTGGCAAAGAAATTAACCTATTAAATCAGTCAGGAAACTGCATCTCCTCAATTTTACCCACTGCCTAATTATGACTGCAATTATATTGAAAGATTTAGAGACTTGGAATGGTACAATTTCCTTTAGCACAAATCTGAAACTCTCCTCTGTGAAGTCTAGATTAGGTCTGCCCTATTTTACCAAACTGTTTTTACTTATAACCCAAAGTACTTGTGGAAAAACACAATGTCCAGTGACTCATCAACAAATGTGTAGGGAATAAATAGCTCTGTAATATGCAATCTCTGAAGCTATTGTTGACAATGTTAAATACTTTGGTGCATTTTCTTTAGAATTAAGTTCCTAAAGATAAATGAACACTATGTTCACATAAGCAAATAAAGGCAGTATAAGATCAGGGCTTGCCAAAATAGGGGTCAGAACCCAAGTGGGTCACAAGCTCTGAAGCACTAATGGCCACCAACTTATAACAGGTGTACTCCCCCACCCCCTCTTAGCTCCCATAAAGGTCACAACAATTTTCAAACATTGAAATGGGGTCATAGCGAAAAAAAGTTTGAGAAGCATTGTACCAAACAACTTAGTGCTAATTTCACAATTATAAGTTTGAGAAGAAATTAGATAAAAGTAGTTACAATCAGCATCCAATCTCCTCCATCCTCCAATAAGGCAAAGAAAATCCAACATGTTTGCATAGCTATAAGAACCACATCAGTGGTTAGTTAGATCTTCTTCTTATATGATACAATCCATGACATGTATTTGTAGGGTATCTATGTCAGGCAAGATGGTACCACACTTTGGACAAGCATGTTCTGGCAGAACCCCCTGCAGCTCCCAAGCAAGATTGTCAGGTCCTGATGAGCAGAATCAAAACAACAGTTAGGGTATTGTGGAATGTTTTACACATATGTGACAACACAACATCTCATACACTTGCAAATTATCAGGCTGTGCATGTTTAACAAACCGATATCCATTTGTTGAATTCTGCAGCAAAAAAGATTTACATAGTTCTGTTAGAAAAATCATCAGTTTCCATCTTTCCCTTTGGAATGCATTCCCTTTCCAGAAGCCAACTGGGGAACAGCCTAGGTCTTTTCCTTTTGAAAAACCCACCACCAACTCACCCAAATAATCAACTAAACAAACAAATTACAATCAAAATGGCGAGAAAAACAAGGGAGGGAGTTAAATCAAATGATGTCAGAGGGGGAGATAATACACTGTAGCTCGTGCAGTACCTATCTCTCTCTAAAATCTTTGAGGGCAAGAACTTTTTTTTATGATCAACCGGTTCAGGGATATTGTGACATATATCTGAAGCAGGTAGGATTTGAACCTAGAGGGAGGGGTTCTACCACAGTGCCACAACAGCCCTGAATGATACCCTTAAAAAAGAAAATTCAACCTGTTCAAGACATGTTACAACACACAGGGCAGATGGGACTTGAACCTGGCTCAAAAGGTAGAAGTAGTGCCACAGACACCCAAGAACCCAGCTCTTCATACTTTCAATCAACCTGTTCAGAAATGTTATGACACAAATGCAAACCCAAGCCTTCTAGTCCAGACATTATCACTGTACCACAAGAGCCTCTTAAAAACACACCCTTCTTTGTGCACAGAGATCAGCCAAAGAATTCAGTTTCTTCTTTTTTTTTTAAAATCAACCTGTTCAGATATGTTGTTACATATCTCTGGAGCAGATGGGACTTGAACCCTGGCCTCCTGTCTCTAATTAAGGACACAACCACTGCATCACAACAGTACACCCAGAACCCAGCTCTTTTGATGGAAAACCCATCACAAAACCACCTAGAACTCGGGTTTCTTTTTTGTATTCACCACCAACCCATTTGACCAGAAATCGGAGATAGTAAGAACTGCCAATGTTGGAGTCAGAGATAACAGAGTGTGGAGCTGGAGGAACACAGCAGGCCAGGCCAGGAGCCGGAAAGTTGATGTTTCGGGTCAGGATCCTTCTTCAGAAATCAATTTTTTTTTGAATACCCACGGCCTAAATAGCTAATAAAACAATTAAACAGTAACAATCAACAAGCATTGCCAACTAGGGGCTGTACAACAACCCATCTGGTTCACTAATGTCCTTTTGGAAGGCAATCTACAGTTGTTGCCTAGTGTGGCCTACAAGTGATTCCAGATTTACATCAATATAGCTGAATCTGAAATGACCAAGCATCTCACTCCTTTCAAAGACAACTATGGATGCGAAATGCTGGCGTTGCCAATGATGCCCATGTCCCATGAAAGAAATCTTAAAAAACCTCCATTCTAACATTCTAAATTGATAATCGTCTTGTTGTCTGATTTACCATATCAAACACAATAAGATTGTGACAAGCACTTACTTCCTTGGTAATATACAGGATCACAGCTTATTTCAATTTAAAACAAAGCTTTTACCTCGTTGAACCTGTTGCTGCAATGCTACATTGTCCTCAGCCCCTAGATTGCTATGACGGCGCTGCAGTTCCATCAAAGATTGTCTGTAAATTCAAACAAACACTTGTGAAGTCAACCTTTCAGGTGTAAGTGAAACAAAGATTATGAGATAGTCTTTAAAGGTCACAACTAACATAGTAAGATCATTTAAACAGCATAGTATATGTGATTTCGAATCACAGTTTAATGTATTACAAATGTTGAACATAAAATGGTATTGGTCAATATTTCAAACCCACGTTGATTGAACAAAATTTATAGAACTTTAGTTAGGCCACAATTGGAATATTACGTACAGTTCTGGTCACCACACTACTAGAAGAACGTGGATGCTTTGGTGAGGGTGCAGAAAAGGTTTACCAGGATGTTACCTGATAATGGGGGAGAAAGATTGGATAGACTGGGTTTGTTTTCACAGGAACGCAGGAGGTTGAGGGGCAACCTAATAGAAGTTTAAAAGATTGTGAATGGGATAGATAGAGTGGAAAAATGAGGCTTTCACAAGGTGGAGGGGTCAATTACTGGGGGACACAGGTTCAAGGTATGAGGGATGAAGTTTAAAAGAGATGTGCAAGGCATGTTTTTCACACAAAGGGTGGCGAGTGCCTGGAATGCGCTGCCAGAGGTGGTGGTGGAAGCAGACAACAGCAGCATTCAACAAACACCTGGACGAATACATGAATAGGAAGGGAATAGAAGGTTACGGATCCTCTAAGTGAAGACAGTTTTAGTACAGAAGGGCTAAATGTGGCAGTGCAGACTTGGAGGGCCGATTGGCCTGTTCCTGTGCTGTACTGTTATTTGTTCTTTTACAGGTGGAAATTATACAGTGAATGGCAAAACCTTTAGGAGTAATGATATGCAAAAGGATCTGGGTGTGCCAGTCCACAGATCACTGAAAATGGCAGTGCAGGTAGATTAGGTAGTAAAAAAGAATAATGGTATGCTTGCCTTCATTGGAAAGGGTATTGAGTATAAAGATAAACAAGAATTTAATAGAACTTTAATAGGCTTGAGTGGCTGACTAAATTTGTAGTTTACACCTTAAATAATTTCTTTTACCCAAGAGATCTTACTGAATGATGTAAGACTATAAGAAATCAAAGCAGGAGTAAACCATTCATCCCTTAAGCCTGCCTTGCCATTCAACAAGATCACAGCAGATCTGCCACAGTTCTCAACTCCTCTTTTGCACCAGCTCAGCATGGTTGTTAACTCCTCGATATTTCAAAATTCTATCTACCTCTTTATATATTTCAGTGACCCAGCTCCACACACTGTGCTTTCCATACATTCACTATACATCTTAGATAGTGAGATATGGACACAATGAAGCAAGTGTAAATTAGAGGAACTGCTGTAAAATGTTATGTTCCCGGTTTGTTCTTGATTTCTGCAGCATAAGACAACTTCTTGGTTTGTTCTGCAAAATCTGTTTTCATTAAGAGCTACAATTATGGGCAAACAAATCTAATAGGTTAGCATTTACAATTAATTATGTAGAACAATGCAATTTGATACAGATCAGTGATTCTCAAACCATTTCATCCCCACTTAGGCAGGCCAAGAGAGCCCATGGACCATCTCCCATTTTCATTTGCCACTGTTAAAAAAAACTCATTAGAAATAAAGGAGCTTATGGAAACTACTTATATTTTGCTGCTTCTCTCTCACTAAGTGTGATAAATGTATATGCATTTTAAAAAATATTATATTAACACATGCCAGAAACAAGCATAGATGTTTTCATGTGATGAACATTAATGCAAGAAACAGGTTTCTCTGACATATTCTAATTGGCGTTACAAAATTAACACAGTAATTGTCTTCTGAGATACCAATGCTTACCTTACATTTGTTAATCAAGCCACGTCAAGTCTAATGTAAGTCTTGGTTATAATCTTACACTGAAACAGCTTGTTCTCCACGTGGCTGCTGGCTGGTTTGTGTGACATCATGTGAATGATGGAGACAAATCTTTTGGCCTAATCTATTGTGTTGGCCTCAGACATGGTGCTGTGCATTTTTCAGTGATATCCACAGTGCTATGAAGGAGAGAGTTCCATGATTCTGACACACTGACAGTGATGGAACAGCGATATATTTCCAAATCAGGATGGTGAATGGCTTGGAGGGGAAATTGCAGGTGGCGGTGTTTTCATATATCAGCTGCCTTTGACTTTCTTAGTGGTAGAGTTGGGCTCAAAACTTGCTGTCTCAGGATCTTTGTCAAATTCGTGCAGTGGATCTTGTAGACAGTATAGATCACTGATGAAGGAAATCAATATTGACCATGATACTTGCTTTGTCCTAGATAGATAGTGTTGAGCTTGAGTGTTGTTGTTCTGCCTCCATCCTAGTACGCAGAGCAAACTCCATCACACTCTTGACTTTTGCCTTTTAGATAGTGGTCAAACATTGGAGAGCCAGGACGCGAGTTGCTCAGTGCAGAATTCCTAGCTTCTGACCTGCTGTTGTAGTCATAGTATTTATATGGTTAGTTCAGTTCAATTGATTGATTGATTGATTTATTTATTTATTGTCACGTGTACCAAAATACAGTGAAAAGCTTTGTTTACGTGTGCTACAGGCAGATCGTAGTAAGCAAAGGATGTATAGATCAAAAAGGCTTAGGCAGAGGCATACAGATTACATTGCACAGCATGTGAGCTAGGCAAGATCAGTGTTATTTTGAGGCTACAGAATCCATTCATCAGTCTGATAAATGCCAGGAAGAAGCTATTCCTCAAATGTCCTTGTGCATGTATTCAGGTTTCTGTATCTTCTTCCTCATGGAAGAGGTTGCAGATGATCATTACTGGGGTGCGATTGGTTTTTGATGATTTTGGCAGCCTTTCCACAGCAGCGAGCCATGTAAATAGGGTCCGTGGATGAAAGGTTGGCTTCTGATACGGTCTGGGCTGTGCACACCACCTTCTGCAGTTTCTTATGGTCCTGGGCAGAACAGTTGCCATACATAGCTGTTATGCACCCAGACAGCATGCCCAACTGTGCACCTGTAAAAGTTGGTGAGGGACCTTATGGACACACCAAATTTCCTAAGCTACCTGAAGAGGCATTGTTGTGCCTTGTTGACCGTCGCATCTATGTGGGAAGTCCAGGACAGGTTGTCAGTTATCATCACTCCGAGGAACTTGATGCTCTTCACCCTCTCAACCACAATTCCATTGATGTAGATGGGGGAGTGTTCTCCTCCTTTCTTTCTGAAGAGAATGATCAGTTCTTTAGTACTGCCAATGTTGAGTGACAAATTATTTTCATTGCATCACGTCACCAAGCCCCCTTTCTCTCTTCTGCAGTTTGACTCATCATTGTTAGATATCCGTCCCACTACAGTGGTCTCGTCAGTGAACTTGTAGATGGCGCTCATTCGGAATTTGACAACACAATTGTAGGTGTAAAGGGAGTACAGTAGGGGGCTAAGGACTCATCCTTGGGGGCAGGGGAGGCTCCAGCGTTCAGTGTTATTGTGGAGGAGGTGCAGTTACCAATCTTCACTGATTGTGGCCTGAGGATCCAGCTGCAGAGGACAGAGCTGAGACTAAGGTTACAGAGTTTTGAGATCAGTCTGGAGGGGATAACGGTGTTGAAAGCAGAGCTGTAGTCAATGAGCAAGAGTCTGATGTAGGTGTCTTTGATGTCCAGATGTTTTAGGGATGACTGCAGGGGTAGGAATATGGCATTCTTTGTGGACCTGTTACATCGGTAGGCAAATTTTAAGGGATCAAGGTGGGCTGAGAGACCGGAGTTGATGTGGGCCATGACCAGCCTCTCGAAGTACTTCATGATTATTGAGGTCAGAGCCACTGGATGGTCGTCATTAAGGCACGTTGCTTGTGCTTTCTTAGGTATAGGGGTGATGGTGGTCTTTAAGCAGGTGGAGACTTTTGCTTGTAGGAGGGAAGAGGTTGAAGATGGTGGTGAATACTTCCGACAGTTGGTCCACAGAGGATCCAAGTGCTTGGCCAAGGACACCATCCAGGCCATCGTTTTCCTTGGTTTGCCTCCCAGGAAGACTGATCTGACGTCTGAAGCGGTGACAGAGGGAACAGGTGTATCTGGAGCTGTCGGGTCAGGCCTGGCCGAGCCGCTGGCATTCTGCTCAAATGGAGCACAGAAAGCATTAAGCACGTCAGTGAGGGATATGTCTTTGACCGCTATCTCGCACTGCTTCATTTTGTATCCCGTAATGTTGTTTAGGTCTTGCCATAGGCGGCGGGTGCCTGTTTGGTAGGTTTGGGGCTCTTGGCCTCCCTGATGGCTTTGCGGAGGTCATATCTGGATTTTCTGTATTGGTTCAGGTCACCCGACTTGAATGCTGCACGTTTGGTCTTCAGGAGAGAGTGGATTTCCTGGTTCATCCAAGGTTTATGTTTGAGGAACACTTGGATTGACTTCTTTGGTTTGCAGTCCTCCACGCATTTGCTAATGAAGTCCACGACCGTGGCGGCATACTCGTCCCGGTTTTCCGCTGAACACTCGAACATGGTCCAGTCCACTGATTTGAAGCAGTCCCGGAGACTGTCTTCCGCTGCCTCAGACCAGCACTGAGCTTCTTCTCGTGAAGGATTCTCCTGTTTCAGCTTGTAAGCTGGGAGGAGGAGCACAGCGGTGTGATCTGATTTCCTGAAGTGTGGGCAGGGGATGGAACAGTAGGCATCTCTGATGGTTGTGTAGCAGTGGTCCAGGATGTTCGGTCTCCTGGTGGGGCAGGAGATGTGGTGGTGGTATTTTGGCACCACTCACTTGAGGTTGGTTTGGTTGAAATCACTGGCCACAACGAATAGGGCCTCAGGGAATTTTGACTCCAGAGTGTTGGTGGCGGTGTAGATCACGTCTAGGGCATTCTTCACATCCATGTGGGGTGGTATGTAGACTGCTGTCAAGATGGCAGAAGTGAACTCGCGTGGTCAGTAGTAAGGATGGCATTTTACTGTAACATATTCTAGATCCAGGGAGCAATGGCTTGCCAGCGTCGGTACATCTGAGTATCAGGAAGTGTTGATCAGGAAGCATACCCCACCGCCCTTCGCCTTACCTGAGGACGTCATGTGGTCCATGTTGTGTGAAGAACCCGTCAACTTGTGGGGACAGTTGGGAATGGCTGGGGTGAGCCAGCTCTCCTTGAAGCAGAGCACACAACAGTCTCTCAGTTCCCTCTGGTAGGCAAGTCTAGATCTGAGTTCATCCATTTTGTTTTCGAAAGTTTCTGGTCTATAGTAACACTCAGGATATTGATAGCTGGAATACAGCAATGCTAATATGAGTGAATGTTAAGGGGCAGTGGTTAGATTCTCTCTTGTTGGAGATGGTCATTGTCTGGCACTTGTGCAGTTACTGCCAGTTATGAGTCTAAGCTGGATGATGTCCAGGTCTTGCTCCATATGGGCATGGGCTGCTTCAGTATCCAAGGAGTTGTGAATTCTGCTGAACATTATTCAATCAATCAGTTTCCAAACTTACAATGGAAGAAAGGTTATGGATGTAGCAGCTGAAAATTGCTGAGCCTGGGACTCCGAGGAGTCAACCTAATGCTTCAAAATTACACTCTTACTTTCTCAATTATTCTCACTTGTGGATATGCTACAGTGGTCACACAACATTTGTTAGAATTTTTGACAAGGTTTGGAATGATGGTTTCATTACAATATTGAGATTGCTTGTCACTTAAAATACAATTGCAAAGGGTGCTTCAATATTGAAGCAGTTCACAATAGTAGCTCACCATGACCCCGAGGGCAATTAGGCATAGAGGACAAATGCTGATCTTGTATCTTGTAAAATTAAGGCTTCAAGATCTTGTAATATATTTTTGACCAAAGTTTTTCTTCAGGACATCATTAAATACCTGCTAAATGCATCCAGTTCCTCCTTCATCTTTGTGTTTTCTTTCATTAGCAAGTTCACCCTTTCAGCCAGTGACTCCTTTTCTGCATGAATTGCTTCTCGAGCTGCTCTTTCAGCATGGAAATCTGCACTATAAACATCAGCCTACCAGGAAACAGAAATGACAACAGCAATAACGCTTACTGTAAACACTCATTCAATATTATCAACCAGCACACTAGCCAACTAGTACCTAATTTAAATTTGCATTACCTAGATTTAGAAAATATAATTTGCACACAATTTCTCATGATCCTAAGTTATCAAATTCCAGTCTTGTAGGATTTTGACTGCTTGAATTTCTGGCCACTGTAATGGAGGTATTTCATAATTAATGCTTGAAAGTGCTCACCTTGAATAATAATAATCCTGTCAGTTTTGCTTCTGTCAGTTTTAAGACTGGCTTATTGACCTTACTAAAATTAGCAAAATGAATAAGTAATACTTATACACTTTTGTAACTCTTCTAAAGACTCCAGCAATCTTCACATGCAGCATAAATACTTGATGAATTGAGCTGCTAATTTGGTATGCACTGCTGGCATTTAATCGCAAAATTGACATGAAACATAGAATTGTATTTAGCTACTGTGCGACAATATGATTTTGGTCTAGCTCTGAACAGTTAATTAAACAGTACCTTCCTTGCTTCCAAACATTTTGACTATTCTCATCATAATATGTCAGAGCTATTACAACAGCACAAGTTTTCCTATTTTATAAACAGCACCTATATTTTTTCTAACCAAAGTACATGGAGAGCAGCAGTTCAAGAAGGCAGCTTACTCTTTCAAAAATAAACTCATGATGGGCAATAAATGCTGGCCCAGCCAGTGATGCCCACAACCTAAGATGAAATTTTTTTAAAAATTCAAATAGCCATAACTGGCTACTTCGTCAATAATTTCACTTCATTTGGGTGTGCAACTGATATTTAATGAGCATTAACAGTACTTAACTTTTATTTGATATTCAACAGAATACTCCTCAACATGCATTGAAAACAGGTACACTCTGTTGACATTCCAAGTTAAGAGGAAATTGAAGAATAAAACCCAAACAACAAGCAGGCAGGAACCCCGTCACGTGGATATTAAGTAGACATTCTACTAACCGATAGGTTTGCAGTGTTGTACTCATGGCAAAGAGCATTTTTGGAAAGCCACAATTGTCATTACAACACACAATCTTGTATCATTTCCAATAAGAACATTACAGGAGCAGTTTAATCTTGGAATAATGATACATTGCCAGATGTTTTCCACCCAAGGTCACATTTTGTTCATTGGGAGGGAGTGCTCAATTGGAGGGTAGGGATGGCTTTTGGCATCAAGTACAAGATAAGTATCTATTTTCATTCATTCTTGGAACATGGTGTTCGTAGGGAATGCAAATATTTATTGCCATTCCTAATTTCACTCAAGCATAGTGACCTTTCTGAATCACTCCAGTTCATGTAATGTAGAAACACCCACAGTGCTGGCAAAAAGAGAATTTCAGAATTTTGACCCAGTGCCATTAAAGTAATGGAAATTTAATTGCAATAGAATATTGTGCACCTTGGAAGAGAATTTTCAGGTGGTGCTTCTCCTGAGAGTCTGCTCCCCCTTCTCCTTTTAGGTTGTACAGCTCGCAGCTTTGGAAGACGTTGTTGAAGAAACCTGGTGGGTTGCTGCAGTGCAGCTTGTGCCTGGATGCACCAGTGCCACAGTCTGTCAGTAGTGAAAGGAGTGAATGTTAAGGTGGTGAACAACTTGCCATTCAAGCGGGCGTGCTTTGTTCTGGATGATGGTGAACTTCTTGAGGCAAGTGGACAGTATTCTGTCACAATTCTAGCTTGGGCCTTGTAAATGTTGGGCAGCCACTGGGGAGTCAAAATGTGAGCTACTTGTTACAGAATTCCAGCATCTCACCTTGTAGTCAGAGTATTGATACATTTGGCTGTGTTATGTTTCGGGTTATTGGTAATGTCTGGGATATCAATGGAAGGAGATTCAACAACAGTAGTACTGCTCAAACATTAAAAAGTGAAACTCAATACAATTTTAAATGTTTCTAAGCAAGCAGAATGCCACTTCACCTGTGCTCGGAACACAGCCACAGTTTCTATTTCCTCTTCCTGTTTTATAATCGTCTGCTTCATGTCATCAATCTTTTGCTGCTTTTCCGCCAGGGCTTTCTCAGCCATGTCTAACTGACTTGAGATATCAGCTAAACCAGCAGTGTTTGCATTCTGAATAAAGACAGCAAGACAAAAGACATGCATACATAACATAGAAGTAGATTTCTGGTAATAACCAATTTAAACTTTCAAAACAATCCAACCAATCAACAATGGCAAATAAAATTGGGAGTAAAAACTGAAATTGCCTTCCCCTTCTCCTTTTATAAATAGACCTAAGTGCTACAAAAGTACATAATTTTTAATCAGCTTTATTATACTAAATTATTCCACTCTGTTTCTTTAGCTTTGCCTTTTACCAATCCTTTGTTCAGCTGGTGAACAACTGAGCTCCTCTTGTGCTGCAAGCAATACTAACAGATGGAAATTTTAAGGTGCAAGTTGCATTTTAGTGAACAAGATCAGAAACAGACATGGAGTGGCTAACAAAACATTCCTCAAAGGCAAAACTAATCATTAGTACATCTTAACTGCGGATTTCTTCCAAAAAAAGGGAACTTCAAAACCTAACCTGTGCTTTCAGGTCGTATGCTTGCTGTTCAACAGTCCTCGTCAGTTCAGCAATGGCTTGCTGATTTGCTTTCATTGTTTTTTTAGCTACATCCAGGTCAACAGTTAGTTCATTGATTTTCTCCATGTTTTTACTCTGTGAATATTAACACATGACAGTGGGATTCAAATACAACATATTTGATGCTACAAAATGATGACAACTGCTTCCAGGCAGATATTTTCAGGTGATACCACCACATATACCACAGAGTTAAAGAATTTCAAGTAATATTTCAATATAAAGATTCAATTACAATATTTGATCAGATATTGTTTTCCCAGAACAATTGTTATTGCACATCATGTACTGATGGACGTGCAGAGGGAGTTCAGGATCAAAGGGAAAGTATAACGGAAACGGCCAAGGTGTCAATCAAGGTACAGTACAGCACAGCAACAGGCCCTTCGGCTCACCAAGACATAATGCCTTTCTAAACTAAAAACCTTCTGCCTCTATGCTATCTGTATCCCTGTATAATATATCTGCCAAAATGCCTCTTAAATGTTCCCAATGTATCTGCCTCCACCACCTCCTGTAGCAGCACATCCAGGCACTTAACACCCTGTGTAAAAAACCTGGCTCTCAAATTGCCTTTAAACATACCTCCTTTTACCTTAAACCTGTGTCCCCTAGTAATTGACATTTCTACTCTGGGAAAAAGACTCCGAATATCTATGCCTATCAGGCTGCTCCTCATCCTTTGACGTTCAAGTGAAAGTAAGCCCGGTTTGTCCAATCTCTCCTCATAGCTAATGCCCTCCAAACAAGGCAACATCCTGGTAAACTGTTCCTGTACCCTCTCCAAAGCCTCCACATCCTTCTGGCAGTGTGGTGATCAGAACTGCACACAACATTCCAAATGTGGCCTAAAGTTCTATACGGCTGCAACATGACTTGCCAATTTTCATACTTTACGTCCCAACCAAAGAAGGCAAACATGCTACTTGCCTTCTTAACCACCTCAGCCCCTTGTGTTGCCACTTTTAGGGAACTATGGACACGTCCGGCTGGATCTCTTTCTATTCTGATGCTACTAAGGGTTCTGCCATTTACTGTATACTTCCCTCCCAAAATGCATCACCTTGCATCTGTCTGGATTAAACTCCATCCGCCATTTCTTCGCCCAAGTCTCAAGCCTACATCATGATGCATCCTCTGGCAATTTTCCTCACTATCTGCAGCTCCCCGAAACTTCGAGTCGTCTGCGAACATATCAGGCCACCAACATTCTCCTTCAAATTATTTACATGTATTACAAACAACAGGGATCCCAGTAATGATTTCTGTGGAACACCACTGGTCACAGATCTCCAACCTGAAAAACATCCTTCCACTGTTATTCTCTGTCTTCTATGACTAGCAGCCCAATACAGATCCCATGTGACTTCACAAAGCCATGCTGCTTATTGCTAATTAGTCCATATTTTTCCAAATGAGTAAATCCTATCCTTAATCTTCTTCAACAATTTTTGTACCGTGACGTAAGGGTCACCAGCTATAATTTCCTGGACTATCTGGGATACAAAGATTTTGGACAAGGCCCCGCCAATTACCTCACCTGTCTCGCTCAGCATTCTGGAATAGATGCCATCAGGTCCTGGGGACTTGTCTACCTTAATGCTTTTCAAAACACCCAAAACTTCCTTCTTTTATGTTGACATGTGCTAGAATATTTACATTCTCCTCCCAAGACTCACCATCCACTACGTCCTTCCCCTTTGTGAATATGGGTACACAGATTTGTTAATAACCTTGTCCACTTCCCCTAGCTCCATGCATAAATTCCATCCTTTGTCCTTGAACAGACCTTTCCTTTCCCCTGCTACCCTCTTGATCTTATAAAATAGTTGGGATTTTCCCTAATCTTGTTTGCCAAAGATATTTCTTGGCCCCTTTTAGCTCTCCTAATTCCTTGTTTGAGTTCTTTTCTGCTTTCTTTGTATTCTTCGAGAGATCTGTTTGTCTTCAGTTTCCTAAACCTTACGTAGGGCTCCTTTTCCTTTCTGATTAAGCTCTCAATTTTTCTTGTCGTCCAAGGTTCCTGAATCTTGCCATCCTTTCCTTTATTTTCACAGGAACATGCTGGTAAAATTCTGCTTAATGGTGTTCTTCACATGGGGACAACTCAAAATTTCCTTTCAACCTTTTGGAAAGTTGCATAGCTTTTACTTAGCAGTTCCCCATAAATATGGATGCAATTCGATACTTGGCCAACTGTCTGTGAATAGGATACTGGCAGAAGGGAGAAAGCCAATGAGTCCTGTGTGCTATAGTACTGTGTTGGTATTCAATATTCTGCAGTCAATTAAAACAATGAAGAAACATTTTGCTTCTTATTAAACAAATTTAATCAAAGTAGATGATTAGTTTGAGTTTAAAAAAAGACCAACTTTGAAATAAATGCCTAAAGAATTCTGCATCACTAATACTCTAAAATAGAAAACATGGACAGTTCAACAAATACTGCTTCCAGTGCTTATTTCTTCAGCACCAAAAGTTTTACGGCCTGAAGTTGCACTTCTATTGCAAAAAAAAAGACACCCACTAAAGATTAAAGCCTCAATTTGACTTCAACTAAGTTGAACGAGAGTGGGTCTTTTAAGTGGATATGAGTTGTGAAGTGCATAGGTCAAATATCGTCGCCACCAACTGCAGTCGAAGGATCCCACAAGGCAGGTAATGTCAGGCCTCTTTCTGCAAAATGGAGCATTTCATTAAAATAATCTACCAAACAGTTCACCAAAAACAGGCAAAGCAAATTCTATTTGTATGTGGATTTCAAATGACAAGCAACAGGAGCTAGTGGATCAACACAGAATGGACAGCAGGCAAGTTTCAGCCGTGGCTTAGCTGGTACAATTCATGACCAAGCCAGACCTTGAGCACAAAAATCTACACTGCACAGTGCTGAAAATCTGCTGTGGACCAAGAATTATATGCAAGCCAGACAGGTAAAGAGAACAGATACCTGCCCTGCAGGACATTTATGAACCAGATGGGTTTTTACAACAATCGACAGTAGATACATGGTCATCATTAAGCTAGATTTCTATTTCAGTGTTTTATTTTGAATTTAAATTTCACTATCGCCCATGATGAAATTCGAACCTACGTCCTCAGAACATTTACCTAGGCTTCTGGATTACCACTTCAGGTACACTGCCACGACGCTATCCCCTTCTCTTAAGTGGACTTAAAAGATATTATACTATTCTGAAGGTGACCAAGGGAATGAGCACCATTCAATATTTATCGTTTAATCAAATCACACTAACTGTAGTTAGTTCATTGATGTATGTGGGAGTTTGCTGTGTACAAATTGGCTTTCACATTTTGAAATGCCTGTAAGTTGTGAAAGAGGCTGCAGAAATGCAAGTTTTTCTTTGCTCTACGCAGATTGCAAAACACAATCCCAAAAGTAGCTCTGCTCCTGAATACAAAAGGCAATTCTGAAAGAGAGATGGAAAGATCTGAAGATCGCTTTTATGGAAATGTTAACAGAAAAGATACTTTTTAAAATGTACAATACCACCCACAAACTGTTTCCTTCTGGTTAATTGTTGGAAGTGCAATTTTACAGCTGATGATGATAAATGGCCTTTTGATATCAACAACATTCAGCTAAAAAGATTATTTAGATCTTGTGAGAACAGTGCTCCTCAAGGAGTCCACATCATGAGACACCCTGTCTCTATATTGTTATTTCACTTTTGTGAGAAGGTGAAATTGGAAGAATCACCACGTTTGTAGCCTCTGGAACACGTCGGAGACTTCAGACAGCCTCCGGCATAACACCTATCAATTGACATACAGGCCTGTAGGTGACCAAAGTCTTGCAAGAGTTGATGATACAGACAAACTAACACTAGGATGGTATATATTCTTGGAACAAAGGTCAACTGCTCAAGTAGCAGATTGGTCATTTAAATCTGATCACCACCAAACCACATCAGAATTAGGTTGCATCAAAATATCTTGCTTTAGAATGTTTGCAATGGCACAATTACACAAACTTCTATTTCTTGCAGTGCCATATAATAAAGCTTTTATATTTTGGAAGAAAATGATCTTTCAGCCTCTTTGTTTAGGAGACTGCACAGCAAACAATTGCTTGCAATGGCCATTACAGAAGGGAGAAAATAAGCATTAAAGATGGGAGAGCAAGCTCAAAAACAACGATTGCTGAACTTTAATATTAAACACTGGGGTTCAATTGAAACCAGTCTACACCAGCAATGTGACCAGACTTATGATAAATTGTCAGGTGACTTCTGTTTTGTCCCCAAAATTTACAGAGCTCACTGAAGACTTTCATTTGGTTTGAAACTGCTGAGTTGAAAATTGTTTGCTAATTTGCAATGAGGGCACCTCACTCCATCGACACAGACCAATTTTGCCTCTAGCTCTCCCACAGTTATTTTACACAAAAGTTTTGATAGTTGTGAGAAAAACAATATAAAAATCAGCACGATTAATTCTGAAGTTCTGTGAGTGCATCATCCAGAGTTTCTTGTCTCTGTTTTGAAACTCATATTCAGGCTATGCGATTGCTATGATCCCAGCTGACTGTAATACTGGACACGTCAGATCCCAGAATAAAGCCTAGATTGACACATTAAATATTTAACTTTTGTAACTGGTTACAGTGACGGCTAGTCACAAACATTTTCATGTGGTTGCAGACTTTTTTTTTTAAAACAACAGAACGTAATTTTATTACACAACAGAAATCAGAGCTCTATTATAGTTGTAAGATCTTAATGCAAATATCAAAATAACATTTCAACCTGTTTGCCAACATCATCCAATTCAGAGACTCAATCCCAGAGAAATCTCACTCCTATCTCAGCTTTTAAATCTTTACTTGACTGAGACTTTCCAGTTGGATTTTCATGAACGTTTGAGACAATTCACCCCACATTCTGTTGCTATGAACCTTTCACAATTCTGATGGTCAAACCTGTCTCAGTTCTAACAACCTGAGGATTTCTATACAAACTGTCCCGGCTTGGGAGCCAGACAAACTAGAAGACACTTCTGAAGGTTCCCCTGAACTGAACTGAAAAAACTTCTGCCAAGAGAAACTTTCCATTTTGAACTAAATTCATGTTTTCTTCTGAACCTAAGTCAACACAAGACTAATGGTTTTGGTCTGTTTACTCTGTTTGTCATAACTCAAATGTATGAACGTCTTTTCCATTTATACTACAGGCAAGCCAAGTACCAACTGCAGTCAAGGCCTGGAACTGATGTATTTAGGTCACTGACCCATAATGACTTTCTGACATTTTAAAAGAGGTCAGACAACTAACTCACATTCATGTGCCTTTCCAAAATCCAAAACCAAAACTATTACATACATTTCATCACACTGACTTTCACTTTCCTGAATTTGTAGGTCATTAAACCTTTTCAAACTGAATTATAGTCCGGAAATGTTTCCAGAATATTACTATGCTCCTATGGTTCCCAAATTTTATGGCCAACACCCAAATCTACCTTCTTAATCCCATCTTAATCTTGCCTTCATTTTGAATGTTGTCAGATCAACATAATTGGCTTGTGGATTTGCTTGCACACTGAAGAACACATTTTTGTAGTGGTGAAAGATGTAAACAAATGTCTGTCTGCTCTGCGCTGAAGCGGTTAATATAAAGTGGAACTGCAAAAACTCTAGATTACAGTGTAACTGATACTGATGTAGTCCTGCTGCAAATACGAAACTGAACCTTTGGTAAAGGGCAATGCCTAGAATAATGAGCTGGATCTTTTTGGAGCGCAGCCAGCTGAATGTTGAGTATCTTGTCACATGAACAGTTTTTTTGTACCCTTCATCTTTAATATCTGCATCATAACATGCTGGAGGTGAGAGTTGACTAATGATACGGAAGGAAACAAAGCAACCACATGTTGTGAACTAAT